TATCGTCCTCTTTTGGAAGACCAAACAAAGTAGTTTCGCTTTCACAACGGATCACACAGCGTCTCGACATGGCGGCAGCAACAATAATACAGCGAGAATAAAAGTTACACCTTCTTTCTTTGCGTGAACATTTGGGCGGCGTTATGCAAATCTTCCCACATCGTGACGTAGACATGTGGGGGCGTGTTAGAACGAACCATTTTAGGTAGGCGTGGTTGACTCGTTATTTTAAAAAGAATATCTCTTTGGATTTGAGACTTTAGTCTTTGCAACTTTACAGATGTCATCCTTGCAGCACTTTATTATCCATTTGTATAAAATCAATATCACACCTGCAATCGTGCTGTCCGAATTTATGATTATCCTCTGTGATATTGCTTAACTGTTATATAAATATTTTTTTAGTTTCTAAACCCTCCAGAGGCTGTCAAGCTCCAAAAAGGATAAAAAATCATAATAAAGTGCATAAAACATTCCTTTAAAAAGGCAGTTGGTTGTTACTCAAACTAAACTCTCTCTAGATTATAATACACTGTTCTAATATGATTTATTTTTAAACAGACTTGGACTTGCCAATGAATCATCAAATTTTGATATTCAGTTCATGGAAATTTTATGAAATATTGGAAGGTTTACATCCAATTTTTATGCTTTTTAAATAGATTTTCTGGCTTGCGCATTGTAAAGTGGTTCACCTTTTTTAATGAAGACATAAAACTTTGCCTTTAAGTTTGCAGGTGGTTCAAGACTATGACTACTTTAAACTCAAATGTGCCTAGTCAGGGTGTAAAAAGAGACGTCTGATGGCGAAAGAGCGAATGAAAGAGAGCTAAAGACAGAGAGAGAAACAGCGTAGGGCTGCTCTAATAAGTTTCGTGATACTCCCGTGTGCTTTACTCTTTTGATGTTGCACTAGGGCAAGATTTCAGAGGAGTTAAGCATAATCCAGGAGACTACGGGAGATGTACTCGCAGACAGGGAGGAGCTCCACGTTTGACAACTTTCTTTATCAGTTAGCTGGAAATGTCTGTAGAAGATAATGACAAGGCATATTAAAAACAATAATACATGCATGCTGCTTTACCTTAGCATCCATACACTGTAAGTAAACTGTTTGTGATCAGTTCAGCCAATACCTGAAAAAACCATATATCATATTTCAGTTCAGCCAATACCTGACATAACCAAAAGCCATATTTCAACGATACAGTTAAACAATAAGATAAAAAATATTAAGGGCACATTTCGTTCATATATTATTTTATTAGGCAAATTCATTAGTTGCCATTCTAAGATATAGTACTATATACTAAGATATATTCTACACTAATTTATATATATATATATATATATATATGTGTGTGTGTGTGTGTGTGTGAACAAATGTAACAAATTTTACTACATTTGCAATTTGTTTTCTCTTGTTTTAAGCATAAATATAATTAAAAAATATAAACTATTTGCTACTTCTTAGCTTTTCAATTACTTTTTTAAGCTTTTCTCAACTCTTTATATAACTTTTTGGCACTGTGATGTTTATAGACTGATGGTGACAATAAAAAGTATTTGTGTTCATTCATTCATCTAGTCACAAACCTATTCATATTTTTAATATTAGCCATCCAACTATCTTCCTTCAATTTTTTTTTGCTGTAGAATAAAGTAAAAATACATTGATATATATTTCTGTATTCATGAAGTGCTCTTATTTACTTAAACCTCAGTCCAAAAACAAACAATTTAATAACTACGCTTCAGATGTGGTGCACCAATGTTTCATAGACAACATACATCGAAGGCAAACAAGAACGTCCTGGTTAGGAAAGGAAGCTTCATATGTGACTTTCAGCGGAAACACGACGGCAATTAATTTCTCACTGTCTGTTCACATATAATCCATGCGTCTGCCAAGTGGCATGAGGATGGATTTCTTAGCCCCTACAAATTTTCCAGATTGCCTACTTCAAGTAGTCTTCCAATAATCTAGGATTACACCTGCAGGATAAAGTAAAAAAGGCAGTCCATCTTCTTTAAGGGGTTTAATCTTTTATGGAATACACTGGATTATTTCCTCGGGTAAGGTTTTATGACCAGCTTAATTCCCAGAGAAATTTCTGCACTGTTCTGAGCTCCCTAACTCCCCCACTTCAACACCGTAACTCTACTCCACCCACCCGCTTCCATTGCACTTGGGATGTTTGATTAATGGCCACCACTTGACCCGTTATGGCAACACTCTGCCAAAAAGCTAAGATTAAGTGGCAATGTCGGACCTGACAGGGCCCCTGCTGCTAATTTTACGTGATGTATGGAGGTAATACTGCTATAGCATCTAGACTGAGGAAACAGGAATCCCGGCCACCCTGTTTGACCGTCATGCACTTACTGACTGTGTGAAAAGTTTCCAAGCACTCAGGTTTTCTGGTCATACCACTTGTGTACGTTGTGTACGTGTGCCATGTTACAAAAATCTCCATGTCTGTGCAGTATAAAAGGACTCCATTCTGCAGCTGTCAGTACTGAGGATGCAAGTTCTTTTTTCCCCTAAGGCAGCAGAGAGCAAACATATATGGGTGTTTCTACAGGTGCTTTTATGTCACTGGGGGTTGATGTTTTTATTTAAACTAACAGATTTGAATGGTTTGCTTTTGTTATATGAAGGTCACAACTACTATGTGTCACGAATCCTGTCCATGGACTTCCGTTCAATCACCACCAGAGGTCACCCTTCCATTACATTGACTCTCGCACTACACAAACTGTTGCATGTCATCCCGGACTACATATCCCATCATCCATTGCACTGATTGCACACAGCACTGATTGCACACAGCTGTAACCAATCACACATTCACTATATAACACCCACTCAGGTCCTTTTCAAACTGCCGAGTATTGTTTAGCGCTTATCGCTCATCGTGTGATAGCTACTTTACGGAGCCTTTTCCCCTGTGTTAGTTCCTAGTTCTAGTCTTAGTCTAGTCTAGTCGCGCCGTGTTTTCTGATTTCCTGGTACCTGATTTTTGCCTGTTTATCTTGAGTTAACCCTTCGCCTGCTGTTTCGGACTGTGTTTGCACCTCGCCTGGACTCTAGCTCGTGTTATTGGATAACCCCTCATGTCAAGCCCTCTGGATATTGTTAGCTGCTTATCGACCACGCCCGTTTTGGACTACTCTTCAGTCTTGCCCTCAATATACCTGCTTGCCATTGTCTGACCCATGCCTGTTTTATGACCACGTCTCTGTCTCCTATTAAAGCTTTGCAAATGGATCCGCAAGTCTCATGTCTCGTTCGCCCCGTAACAAATATATCTTTAATAATACTTTTTCCACTTATATTTAAGTGAAAAAACCTACTTGATAAAATACGTTGATTTTCAAGGTACAATCTTTGAAAACAAGTCTTAATATTACCGTATTGTCCCGAATATAAGACGATGTTTTTTGCTTGGAAATACATCTGAAAAAATGCGGTCGTCTTATATTCAGGGTCTAGACTTTGACATGTCAATAATACACCCACAACAATAGGTGGTGCCAAATACGCATAAAACGAGTGTGCCATGAAATACGTAATGTAATGCGTGTTGTAAAGATCGCGAATAAAAACAAACCGCATAAAACGAGTGTGCCATGAAATAGCCTATGTAATGTAATGCGTGTTGTAAAGATCGCGAGTAAAAACAAAAGAGAAAGAAAAGCTTACAGCTGCATGAGTCGTGACTGTCATGTTAGCCTGATGGGACCAAACTCCCTTTGTGATTTTAAAACGTAAGACAGTACCCAGATTTGAAGATTACAGTAAGATTTAACTTCTACTGTTAATAAGATTTTGGTAGGCTACTATTAGATGGATAATTCAGATAGGCTACCTGTTTTTTAAATTTTTTTTATGGTATATCAAAAAATTTATATTTTTTAAATGTGATTGTTGGTACATTTTACCAGTTTTTACCATACTTTCAAAACAAAAATTAACATAGGAAAAATATGCAATATGAAAATAATTGAAGACAAAATGTGTTTTACTGAGAAAAAACAAGATTTGGTTTTTAAAAAGCCTTTTTCCAAAAGGTACATCTGGAAAAAGGGGGGTCGTCTTATAATCAGGGTCGTCTTATATTCGGGCCAATACGGTATGTAGTGTTGTTTCTCGTTTTATCTTGTTCTAATGAGTTTTTGATAATGTTATTGGGGAAATGACTGAAAAAAGACAGACAGAACAGGCAAATTTTTACTAAGATGACACTTTTTGGAGTGGATTAAGTTAGAAATACTGTATGCCTGAAATCACTTACAGAACCTTTAAAAAAGCCCACAATCCAGGAGACTTAATAGTTTTAAATGGGTCATATGATGCTGCTAAAAAAAACATTATTTTGTGTATTTGGTGTAATGAAATGTGTTTATGTGGTTTAAGGTTCAAAAAACACATTATTTTCCACATACTGTACATTATTGTTTCTCCT